ATTCATCTTCTAGACCAGGCAGCAGAGGAAACTAGTAACACAGCCTGCAAGCATGGCCCCCAGTGCAGAGCTGGCCCAGTTAACTCCTGATGCTCAGAGATTCACTGACCAGGAAGCACTGACTTCCCATGACCTGAGCTGGCTGGAACTTGTGTTGTGCCCAGTTACAGACTCTTAGGAATCCAGTGGTTTGTAGGTGAGGGCCTCATCTACCACCTGCCTCCTGCACCTACCTGAAGACCTCCTCACCTGGGTCTCTTCACCAGCCCAGGGTGCCCACAGGCGTTTCATGATCCCTCCACGTTCTTGTTGACAGAGGGCACAGCTGTGCTGCACTGCTCTGGAAAACTAAACCCTCAGTCCTGGGGTGGGGGTGCCAGCCCAGGGATGAGGTAGCAAGGCGCAGGCCAGCGGAACTGGACTCGGAAGAGAGGCTTCTAATGTCCTCTTGGCTTTGCACTTGGTTCCCTGTCATTTTCAGATCAACAGCCTCCTTGCAAATGCCCCTGCCGCGGCCATCAGAGAAACACAGAAGTCACAGGGAGCCAGAGCTTTCAGGGTGGCCTTGGGCCCCTGGAGGCTAAGGGAGAGAAGCCTCGGTAACTGGATGAGAGTGACACCCGGAGGGGCAGGCAGACCAGAGGGACAGGTGCCTGAAGAGAGCGCTTCCCACGCTGCACCTGGACGCTCTTGAGGCTGGTCCTTGTTATGGGACAAGACACATTTGCATGATTGTGGAATGATGGCATTTCAGGGGCAATCTGAAGAGTCATTCCCAATGTCACAATATGATTCAAAAACAAAACAAAAAACCCTCAGAACATCCACGGTCACTCCAATGGTAGTGTTTCACAAACGGTGCACAAGTCAGTGCTATAGTTGGCACCTTGAATGACCCCCTGAAGGTGTGGGTGTTAAAAAAGTCTTGGTCCCCATGGTGGTGCCACTGGGGGACAGTGGGACCTCAGGAGGGGAGCCCTAGGGAGGTCCTTAGGTCATGGGGGCCTTGGCCTCTTCCTGTCCCCTTGGTGTCCTGGAGATGAAATGAGCTGTTTGCTCCTCCACGTGCTCCCCGCCATTGCCAACCAGAGGCCCGAAGCCATGGGTCTACCCGGTCTTAGACTGGAACTCCAAAACTGTGAGCCAAAAGAAACCCCTACTCTTGATGTTAAAGATCTCGGGCATTTTGTCCTAGTGACGAAAACCTGACACAGTCAGCGCGTCAAGTCTGGGGGTCTGGGGTGGGGGTTCATCCTAATAGATCCCTGCTCTGTTTGGTGCACAATTACAGCTAACGAGCTGTGGCTTATCCCTCTTAAGGGCATCCGAATGTCAGGATTAATGCTCTATAACTGGAAAATGACTTACCCTGGGCTTAAAAAGATTCTCTCACAGCCAGAGTATGACCAGGGGTGACATGAGGGGTTTCTTCCATAGATACGCACTCGTGGGCTGCTTTATCGCCCCACTAGAAAGCCTTTCATCCTAATGATGCTATTTTTACAATCCCCACTCTCCTCTCCCCCCAGCCATGTTCCAACTCT